AAATCAAAATTTTAGGTCTGGGATAGGGTCAGGGTTTTGAGGTTATGGCGACACACCCCTACCCAAGTTGGGGTGGTAGTACCCCCCCCGGGACCTAGACCTAAGTCATGGAACAAGTATTTCATGCACCAAATATAAATATTTTTTCACTATAAATTACAGGTGAACTGGGGTTCTTCAGGCCAAGCCAACACCTACATGACTGCTCTTCGTCTCACAAACATGCTTGACAACCAGGCAGAGCACGTCAAGAACTTTCGTCCTCAGTTCCTGGTTTTAACTGGACATCCTTCTAAACACTTGGCGTTGATGACCATAGTGTCTCAAATGAGCAAGAATGTTGGCCTTATGATGTACGGCAATGTGTACGTAGGAAACGGTGATGTTCCCGAAGAAGATGCTATTGAAGAGAAGAAATGGCTTCGTGAGCATAAAATCAAAGCTTTTCGTGCAGCAACAACAGGTATCATGGATATTTTTATTGTTTTTTAGCTTTGATAAAGGAACAGATTTAGCACGTACTGCGTGCCTGCAATTAAGTGATTGGATGGTGTACGTTTTCGTGCGCTTTTCCTTTACCTCACAGCAAAATCCATTTAAAAGACCAAAATGGCACACTTTTGTTTATGATAAAATATAAAAGTACTTAAACATTTTCTACAAAATAATCTCGTTTTTTAACGTATTCTCTTTTTATGTATACATGCTTTTGTATTTTTCAGCGCAAAATCTTCGAGCCGGGGCCCAAGCCATGTTTAACTTATCTGGCCTTGGAAAGTTGAGACCCAACACGGTTGTACTCGGTTATATGGAGAACTGGAGGAGTGAATCCAAAGATCTAGCCAGCTACTTTGGTATCATTAATGATGCTTTTGACTTCAGCTACGGTCTGTGTATCTTGCGCATGGGTGACAGAGAGTTGGATATTGAGGACGGAATTTCTTCAGATTCAGAGACTGAGGCCGAAAACCAGAACCAGAAGAAAGACGTCGAGAAGGGAGTGAAGCAGCCTCTGAAAGCAGCCCCCGAACCTCTAAGCAGTGAAATAACCTTTAAAGAAAAACAGAAGGGGACGATAGATGTGTGGTGGTTGTATGACGACGGAGGCCTGACAGTTCTCCTTCCTTACTTGCTCACCCAGCACCGTCTGTGGGGTGGATGTAAACTGAGACTGTTCTCCCTTGACATCCGTTCCAAGCATACCATCAAAGCCACTGAACTAAAGATGGCAAATTTGATGAAGAAGTTTCGTATCACCGTCAGTAGTGTGGAACAAGTCTCTGGCGCAAACACCAATCCATCAAAAAAGAGCCTCGAAGCATTTAAGATGCTGGCAGGTGAAGAAGAGTTGGAAGGTGGTGAGGTGATTGATCAGAAGGTACTTCGAACTATAAGAGTTGGAGAACTGGTTCGCGAGCGCTCCAAGGATGCCAATCTTGTTGTAATCTCACTTCCAATTCCCGTCGCGGAAGTCACTACACCCAACTTGTACATGAGCATGTTGGAGGCTCTCTCAGCGGATCTTCCACCTGTCCTTCTAATTAGAGGAAACCAGTCGAGCGTTTTGACATTTTATTCTTAAGGTATATCGTTTATAATAATCTTTCATCTAAAGAAAACCTTTACATAAATGCTCAAAATAATAGTAAAGCTATTCCTAATGAAATGATGATTTTTTGACAGCCGTCATGTTGGATAAATTTTACAAAAGATTCTTCTTAAGTCTCTTTTGTTATATCATCCAACATGCCCGCCATATGCACAATATAAATAATAAATATTATTAATATTATTATTAATGTCTTTTGTCATTGGAAACCAGCAATTCATGGATCGAAAAAATGCCCATTTTTTGATGTCGCACCTTGATTGCGGCAAAGAAAATGAGCCTGGCCGAAAACGGTGCTAAAAGATAGTACTGTATTTTTATAACGAATTATAGCTCTACAGTGCATTCCTCCTAGTTATAACGATAGGTTTTGTTTCAGGTTTTCATTTTTTCTGTCATGTTTCTTCTGTTTGCCGGTACAGTTCTACTTCCGTATGTAAGAATTACTAAGATTAAAACATAAGCATATATGCTGCAAAATCCTTTGGTTATTTATTATAAATAAGCACAATTTAGTTAGTTCTTTTTCATGGGTCTACGATACTTAATTTTCCCTAAGTATCGTAAAGTCTTTTTTTTTTTTTCAATTAAAGTTACGCATCAGTTTATAATAATTATATATATTTTATAATAAATATGTATATAATATTAAAAAAGCTAGCTCATTTAGATTTGCAGGGAACAGTCGTCAACGTCCGTTGATTTCATCGTCTCCTGCTTGCTTACTACATTTTGTTAGTTTCCTCTGTATAAAAACAAAAGTTGCCTACTTCTTTAAGTGACTTGGTAAAATACATATTTATTCTTTTGAAAATGTTCCAGGAATATTTATATCTATTTATCATTTTCCACCTTGAGTATGAACTTGTTTTTTCTATGATTCACATTTTTGTAAAAAAAAAATCAGTTGTTAAACTCCTAATGAGTGAAAGGAAAGATTAGTTGGTCCATGGGCTTTTCTTATGGTGAACTTAGCTTGACAGAGTGGTTGGGATCGGGCTAAGGCTCATGTCAAACGTCGAACTTCACATGAGCCAAACTAATGACATCAAAGACGACCGCCTTGTTATCCTTTTTCAATTAGGTTCGGCTCATGTTAAGTTTGACGTTTGGACTGAGCCTTGGAGTCATGTAGAGTATTAATGCCGAGAATAAAAGGCAAAAGACGTGACCTCCATGTTGGATGACAGGACAAAAGACGCAAAGACAAAATATTTTGTTAAAGTCAACCATGTACCTTGATATATAGAAGGTATGTGCAGCCATACATGGACACTAAGAATATCGTGTTACTGGTTTTACCAATGTGACCAAGAGGGCGAGGATCCATGGGGGAGGGGGGTTCATCACCCCCTCTCAAACTGCAATTGAAACCCCTTATGAATAATGCTAACTCCCTAGCGAATTTCACGCTACGAGGCCAGTAGCTAACAAACCTGTGGCCCTCATTCCGTGATTGAATTGGAATTTAGGAGTTGATTTTTGCGGAGGGAGGAAAACCGGAGAACCCGGAAAACCCTCGAAGAACAGGAGAGAACCAACAAACAACTCTACTCATATACAACACCGAACCCGGCGGGACTCGAGCAGCAGCAGTAAGGGGGACACGCGAAGCGCCGGCATTTGAAAAAATGACATATCGAAAAACCCCAGCCCCCCCTGGGGTTTCGGAGGTAGGTTAAAGGCCCTACAGGGGGTCTTGCGCGATCCGTCGGCAGCCGCGCGACAAGTCCTTACTGCTGCTACGTAAACGGAGGTTAAGATATTTGTTGGATATACGATGCATGAATGTAAAAAGTTCGCCAATGACTTCTGTGT